TATTTAGTGCCTAACCCCTATACTGAAGGGGTACACTTGCCAAGGGAATTCACCTTTGAGCCAATTTAGAAAGCTTTAACTTAAATGTGGATAATTCTGGAAAACTAAAAAGGAGTGAAAGGGAGATGAAAGAAAACCCGCCTGGATGGACTTACTAGCTTCGCTTAAGGACAATTCATGGACCCCTGTCACCCAGAGCTAATCAATGGACAAACGTGCCCTTCCCCAGCTTTTCCTAGGGGGACCCTCAAGCGTGGGAAGATGAGGCTCTATGCCCAGGAGTCTCTGGACTCGTTATGAAAACCTCTGTGAGACCCTTGCATCCAATGAAACCATAAACGCAACACAGTGAGGTCTGAATCCACGGGCAGTGATCATTTATAGAATAGTCATCCCAGAAGACCCAGGAAATGCTTACCTTATCTTTAATAGATTATCAGCAAAATGAAAACACAACCTTTGAAATGGTCTCAGAACTTTGGGACCCCTAGAAGGAGATGGCAGCTCACACTTTGTGAATATATCCTTTTCTATATTGTGAATGAATGAAATAGACCACCCATAGCTTGCTTGCTTGACTACTGCAATGCATTTAAAATAGCTTCTAAATGTAGCCATCCACTCACTGTACCCCATAATTCACTTAGGTGAAATCTAAAATGCTATTGATGATAAGGCATGCCATCATTTTATACATACAAAGGAGAGAAAAAATGGTAATTAGAAATTCTTGATTTAGAGATGTTAAAATGGGAAAAATAAAAGCCCTCATGAGTCTTCCCACAGTAGGGAAATCCCAGCATACAAGTGTGGAGATTAGGGCACAGTGCTTTGACCCCCAGGCTCGGGCTGGACAGCACCCCTCTCCTTAGTAGCTATAGGACCTGGGGCAAACTGCTTCACCTTGTTGTTTCTTTTTTTGGTAAACTGTATTTAACTGATATTAACAATACCTGCTTCTCCCTACATTACTGAGAGAATTATTGTCTGGTCCTCTCTTACAGTATTTAATATGTACCTAGCACTTATTAGCTGTTTTATTGCCACTGTTATTATAAGTCTGGCAAGAGTAGACTTAAGAATTTAATATGAAATGATTTTCTTTAATGTAAATGACTTCACCTAGTCTCAGTTGCCAAACCTTTAGACATTGTTTGAAATAAACGGTAATGGCTTTGCTTCCTCAGTGCCTTAGTTCTCTAGAAATAAAATGAAATTATCTCTAAAATGGAGTCAAAGCACCTTCCTAAACTGAAGAATCACTCAGAGCCCTAAGGAGCTGATGACTCAAACACAATGGGTGAGAGTTTGCACATTGCTTTGCATGACATTTGCATGCTACAGGTTCATTTTTGCTTGAAGTGAAAATCCGCCCACCATCTGCTTCTTTCCTAGTCCCTTATGATCCCCTAGGTGTTGAGTTGGCTGCCTCTGCCTGGGAAAAATAAAGCAACTGGCATGCACCAAGCTCGGCTGAGTACAAGGGCAAGTCTGCCCCAGGCTGTGGACCAATCCACCATGGATCAGTCACCTGCATCACTGTGGCCCATCTTACCCAGAGGATGGCCACTGACCTAAAAACCAGTAAGCTGTAAACAGCATCAGGTAGCTTTTCCCGAATAGAACCCCTGAGCACACACGCATATGCCTGATGGTGAATCAGAGGATACACAGCTAATTGGCTTAGAACATGGTTCTTGCCCACTAGCGGCTTCCAAACCAAACCCATGCAAAGCTTCTCTTTTCCTGAGTGTGAATAATTATAATGTAGTGATCGTACAACAAAGATTTACTTTCATTCTCAAAATTGTCATAACTTAAAAAGTAAACATATGACAGCTAATATCTAGAAATTAAGAAAAAAAAATGAGCACTTAATTAATCAGGGCCCTATTGCTGGAATCTTCTGCCAGCTCTAAGCATTTGTTTAAACTGAACCCTGCATTGCTGACTGCTTGTCTGCAGTGGATAATGGGCCTACGCTATCCACAGGTATGATCAAAGTTCACTTAATTGTTGTTTCTGGGGAATAACTTAATATTCCTATAAACTCAAATATCTATATTATTAGTATATAAACTGGGCAGTGATCCCACATGAGACAGCATGAAGTATGTATTGTTTGTAAAAGAGCTGCAAATAGCACTCTAATGAGTAAATGTCCTATAAGTGATGGTTTGGATACCAGATGTAAATACCACCTCAAATTGTCTTGGGTTTCTATATGAATTATGACACATATGTGAACAGGAAATCTAAGCAATCAGCTATAAAATGCCAAATTCATATCTAGATACTGGGGCCAGAATACTATAAATGTAATTAAGCTTAGGTAAAACCTAGGTTTTAGAGATACTGTTTTATCATAGGATACATTTTTCTTTTGGTGCCTTACAGAGTTATTAAGGATTAAAGTACCTGTTAGGCTTTTCAAATTATTGGAAATAACATGTAAAACATCATATTTTTATAGACACTTAGAAACACAGGCACCTCAGTTACACTAAAATTTCAAAACCTGACTCCAAGAAATATAAAATAACCAAAAGATCAACTTTTATAATACCACTTCACTTTCTAAAAGTGTCACTCCTCATGGGTTAATTTTTAGAATATCAGAAGTTTTAGAGATTATCTAGTCCAGGCATCCTCAAACTATGGCCTGCGGGCCACATGCGGGTGTTTCTGTCTGTTTGTTTTTGTACTTCAAAATAAGATATGTGCAGTGTGCATAGGAATTTGTTCATAGTTTTTTTAAAACTATAGTTCGGCCCTCCAACGATCTGAGGGACAGTGAACTGGCCCCCTGTTTAATAAGTTTGAGGACCCCTGATCTAGTCCAATACCACTATCTTTATTCATGAGGAAATTGAGGTCTGGTCTAGAAATTGGCATGAAAAGAAAAAAAAAGGGCAAGATGAACACTTGGGACCAGCAGGGTCCAGGACAGGGGGCTGCAGCTTCTGGGATGTAGGATTAGAAGCCCTGGCTAGGTAAGCAGCTCTGTTAAGGAGCTTGGAGCTATGAAGGAAACTATGTTTAAAAATGAGAAAAAGGCGTAGGGGAGGAGCTGATTCTAGAAGAATAATCATCTAACATAAAGATATTCTGGGCCCAGAAGTTGAGTTAACTTCTGAGTCTGAGGTCATCTGGGGAAAGGCGTTTCCCCTGGGAGGCAGGGGTGGGCCTGTTGCCAGGGGGCAAGGCGCTCAGTCACTTCCTTACTCCCTGGGCGGGCCAGGAAAGCAAACTCGCAAACTCAATTTATAGGACACGGAACTAGACATGAAAGCAAAAGGTGAATGTGAGTGTAGCAGCTGAGTCATCCAACCAGTCGTAATTGGAATAGAAAGGAATCGCCCCCTTCGCTCAAGAACTCAACAGGAGGCCAGAGTCTGACCTCTATGGAGGGCGTTTCCTGGGCTACTTGTCCCTGGCTTCCGGCCAGGCTCACCCAATGGGAAGGTCAGGCAAGAGACAGGAGGGCGGGAGGAGGGAGAGAGGCCAGAGCATCTCCTCTTGCTCCCTCCTGCAGCTCCTGCCCAGTGGCCCCTGGTTAGTGGCTCCGGCTCTCCCAAGGCTCTGCTAGAGCATTTCCTGTCCTGGCCTCTGCTGGCTCAGGATGGTCACCTCCTTCCTGGGGACCTTAACACTCCTGGCTGGGTCTCTTTCACTCCCGCATTCACAGGTGACCCATCTGAGCTGGTGCCTGTCTCTTGCTAGACCCCTGACTTCATACTGGAGAAGAGGAGCCAGAGATGCTGGAATCAACACAGCATCTCGTACACACTGCCACTTACTTGGCAAAATTGTCCATCGAAACCCAAGATGTCTTACAGAGTAAAATGGGAACTCCACAGATACTTTTAAAATAAAGGGACCTTCAAAAACCATCGATCTTCAAATCCCCCCAACTGTTGCCGGGCAGTTCACCGTCCTCTTTGTTCTCTGTGGGAAGGATCTTCAGTGGGAAAGGATGCTTTACTAGGAGTAATGAGACTGCCTCAGGTCTCAGTCTCTCGGGTTGTACATGGAAGTAAAATTAAGGTGAATTTCTTGCTTGCCTCAAAGGAGCTGAGGGTTACAGAGGCAGCAGCGACAACATGAGCTAGAGACAGGGGAGGGGAAGGGAGTAGGGTCAGACCTCAAGGAGGGCCAGAGCAATCTGGAGGAAGGGGCCAGAGGAACGTGCAGATCCTATGGCTGCAGCCCCCAAGGGGAAACTGCTTGTCCTCTGATGACATCGTGTTTAGAGCCCGAGAGTTGTATTACTTTTGGAATAAAGAGTCAGTCTTTAGGAAAAGGTCCTGCATATTTTGTTACTCAAGGGAGAAGTATGTAACACATATTGGAATATTTTTCATAAAGTCTGTAATTAAAAAATTACCCACACCAAAAGTGAACAAGCACTGGTTATTTAAAATATAATGAAAATGTAAGTTTATCTTATTCCCTAGCAATGCTGGATAAAGTAAGGGTTAACCATGACCTCTTTGCCAAAATTCCCTTTAGTTGAACCCAGAAGTGAGGAGACTGCAGCCTCTAAGGGCATGTGCATAAAAGGAGAGACTTCTGGGCTCCTGGGAGGGGACAGTGCAAAGTCACTGAGCAGAGTGGAGCCAGGCCGGGAGTGGCCCCAGGTGACCCTGCAAACACCACTTCATTCAAATCCCTTTTCTTCCCCCCATCACTCTCACATATTATGCCTCTAACTAAGCTCTCACTGAAAAACAGGTTCAGAAGCCAAAAACTATTCGAATGTTGCTGGTTTCGATTTATCCCAGGTATATACATGCACGGCTACTGTGCACCAGTAGAAGATGCCCCAACCTGATCGTGCTTCTTAAATGCATTTTCATTCTGATGTAGAAGGCCTGCCTTTGTCAATATCTAACCCCAAGCAGAATTATCTTATTTCTAATCACTTGATCTTTTTGAGAAAGGATAAAAAGTACCAGAGGCATCAGAAATCAGTAAGGTCAGACAACTAATTTGCTTACCTGCTGTCCCCAGCATTTGCGACATATAGCTTCCCCAAAAGGCAAACCACAATGAGGGCTGTGCAGCCGCCAGATATATTGTATGAACTCCTCTCTCGTTCTATTTGTAGGTCCTGAAGAAGAAAACAAAGTTAGTGTTGATTGTGTAGGAACTTGTATCAAAGGCTTTCTGACCCTCGCTCCCTTGACACAGTCCAAGAGATTCAATGTACTTCAAGAAAGGACCAGAAAACCTTCAGTGCTTGCCTTCCTGCCACCTAATGAACATTTCTGGAGAGGGCACTGGCATAAAACTGCCTCATATTAGACCATCTATGAACCGGAGACAGGAAACAAAGGATAGCAAACAGATAATACTTAGACAAAACCAAGAAGAATACAATGTAGTTATATAAGTCATATTCAATCAATATCATCTCTTATGGGAAATTTAGTCTTCCTAAGGGCTGCCTGGGCTGCCATATGAAACATACAATATACAGGCTAAAAATGCCAAGGACTTGGACCTGATCAATGTTTTGAACCCAAAAGTCTCAGATGCTTTCTTTTACGGCTAGATTTTTTTTTAGACATATATATTTATTTATTAATTTGCATATTTAAAGTTTACATACATGCCATAAACTCCAATATAATTTTTAAAAAACAAGCCCTTAATGACTCTGAGACACATAGTTTCTTCTGCATCCCAAGCCAAACCCCAAATTGGAGGTAGAGCACATGTTCCTATTTTATAAAGTCTCATGGTATATATGTGGTTAGGGAGTACTTGAAGACCAGCCAGGGCTAAGGGATGCTGGACTGACACTGAGACCATTCACAAGGGAATGCCCTGGGAGAAGAAACACAAGTCTATACAAAAACCTTTAACACTTAACAGCATCACATTAATTCTAACAGCTTTACTTAGGCTTGGCCACCCACTAAATTACACACACACTCAGGTACCTAGAAGGTTATTGCACAGTTCCTTAACTGATCGAGTTAGGATGAGACTTCTGTTCAACCAGGAGTCAACTCATGACTTAGAGATCAAAGATACACACTTTTGAACTCTGGTTTTTCCTCTTCCCACAGCCACCAATTTACAATGGTGACACATTCATAACGATAGCCACCATTCACTGAGCACTTTCCCTCTCTGGCAGTGTGCTAAGCACTTTACATACAGAATCTCATTTCATCCTCACAACCATCACTATTAACCTTACTGTTCAGCTGCAGAGAAGTGGGGCAGCCTGGCCATGTTTACCTGGCTAGTGTTCAGATTTCAACCTGGTTCTCCTCCTCCAAAGCTTGTGTTATTACCTGTCACCTAATGAGACCTCCTCAAGAAAATAAAAAATAGACCAACACCTCTATTCACAGATGTGCATCATCAAGACAGATGCCTCTGTGAAATCCCGTGTTAGCTTTAAAGGCAAGGGTCTGTGACGTGTCCCAGAAAAATAAGAGTTGAGCTAGGAAGACACATTGATGTCAAACTAAAATAACACCGAACATTCCAGTAGTAATCTACTGTTGGGGAAGATGGAAGGAGAAGGAGGGTTGGGTACAAATTATAAGTAGAGGAAGAAATGGTGTCCTGGCTGATGTGGACAGTCCATTGGCAGATCTAGGGCCAGGGCCACCTTCGTGATTCTGAGAAACCCACGGAATCAAAGCTCAGCTGCGTCAGCCAGCCTCCTCATGGACGAGGGGGAGAGAATTCAGCAGTGCAACACTTACTGGCTCCAGGGACCAGAGATGGTAATGCAAAGATGGATAAATCGCCAGTGGGAAACTGAAGAGCCTGAGCTGAGGATACTGAATAGGGACAGCATGCTGGTTAAAGAGCAGAGAAAAAGTACAGGACATGGGAGAAACCAACACAGCCCTGGGAGTGAACCAGGTAAGGGGGTGGGGGATGGGTAAGAATGTGTGGAGGGGGGTGTAGTAGTGTGGAGACCAGCGAGGAAATACTTCACCCAGGAGTGGACAGCAGCAGCATGAGTTACACAAGGGTCAAGCACGAAGGTACCTTCAGAGGACTATGTTGGATTTTTAACACTTACTTAAACTCTACATAGATTAGCTTTCTTCAAAGATTTTCATAAGGATTAAATTAGCCGGCATGTGAGGAGTTTAACAGGTCATCTAGACCTTTCCACAGCCTGGAGGCTCTACAGTTGATAACAGTGACCTTTCTTGCTCACCCACAACCTTCAACACCTACACTGGGCCAGGTAAATGGTAGTTCAATAAACATCTGTTTATTGGACAAAAGAGAAATAAGTTTTAAAATGCCTTATCTCCCATTACCTTCCTTCTTCCTTAATATGAGAAATGGATTCCACAATTCACAAACAAAAGGCTTATAATGCCACCGCTGAGACAGTAATTAAGCAGGGACCCATGCTCCAGTTAAAATGCAATGGATTCGCAAGAACGGTTCTCAGGACCTACACAAGAATGGCAGGAGGGTGCAGGGAAGGAGGGGCATGGATGTCAGGTGGGAAGGATTATCTCAAGGCGGTCCAAGGGAGGAGAAAGAAAACATCAAGATGCTTGTTTAACCTCCAAAAAACCCCAGAAAAACAGAACCAATAACCCCTACCCCCAAAGGAGTTTGTGAGTGCAATTATCAGATTTTTTTCGTATTTAAATAACTCATATAAAGTTGATGTTATGATAGAGACATATTTCATTAAATTAATATGTAAATTGGTATATGAAGTCTATATCTAATACTACTGTTTTTAATACATTGAAATGAATTGCTCTAGCCTCAGAAACTATCCTTTCACAACCAGAATCAATATCTGTTTAAATACCTAAAAGTCTTGGCCGGGTGTGGTGGCTCACGCCTGTAATCCTAGCACTCTGGGAGGCCAAGGCAGGTGTGGATCACTCGAGGTCAGGAGTTCGAAACCAGCCTGAGCAAGAGTGAGAGACCACATCTCTACTAAAAAAATAGAAAGAAATTAATTGGCCAAGTAAAAATATATAGAAAAAATTAGCTGGGCATGGTGGTGGCGCATGCCTGTGGTCCCAGCTACTTGGGAAGCTGAGGCAGAAGGATCGCTTGAGCCCAGGACTTTGAGGTTGCTGTGAGCTAGGCTGATGCCACAGCACTCTAGCCTAGGCAACAGAGTGAGACTCTGTCTCAATAAATACATACTTACATACATACCTACCTACCTATCTACCTACCTACAAGTCTGAATGAAAGACAATACTTACTAAATATTCTTTGAATACCCAACTGCTTGTGTGCTGCAGTATATGGACTGGAATATGAATGATGTTTGTCAGACTTAATCAAATCATTGGTGTGATCCAATAGGGAGAAAATTCTATGGCACACAAAGTCCATATAAAAGAGCTGCCATGGCAATGAACTCCCCTGGGACTCAGATAAGCAAGTTTAGTCTGCACCATAAGTAGGTGCATTATTTTTCATGGTTTATATCACAAAATATCTGATTAAAAAATTATTTAATCCTTAGGGGAAAAAAATCAAGGCACAGTGTTCAACAACAAGATTTTTATGCTTTAATTTTGGGGGGGAAACATTCCAATTAGCTTACCCAGTTAATTCCTTACTATTATATTAAGAGTGACTCAGTATTTTTTCCTAATTGATTTCATTGTTTCTTTCACCTGTTTCTATGTTCAACTATTAATATATTCCCTCTGTAGCTCCCCCTGAATAAGGAATGCTAAATTTGGCAGCACTTTCTCAAAAAGAGTGAATTTAACTACTTTTTATGCAAGCAACTTTGCTAATATATACATGCTTTCATCAGCCCTCTCCCACATTGTGTAGGAATACACGTGTGTATATGCACTTTAATTACAAGTGTGCTCTCTGGGATCATGGTGACAAGAATTCGAAAGCTGTGTCTCCACAGACTTCATCCCCCTGAAGGATCCACTGACATTAAAACACTCTCTTCTAGTTCTTCTAAAACTGCATGCAAGTAGAACATATTCTAAAAATAATTGCTTCCCTCCCCCCTCCTCCCTAGAAGCCAAAATAGCACATTTATTTTTTCCTACATACACCACCTACTCCTCTTTAAAAGATGTTTCACAGAATCTGAGCACTGAAAGGAACATTAAAGGACCATCTGGGTGGCTCTTTTACTATCAGATCAAACATGATAAATGAAGTCAATAAAGATATATTTACCATTGAATTACCTACCATTTTTCTTCAAACCTTCAACCTTTCAAATTAGCTTAAGCTTTTTATACTTTCAGTATAATAAATAAAAAATGTAGAACTATTTTTTTTAAACCCTCAAGTTTGGGCATTTTTACAAAAAACAATGAAATCATGGGAAAAACTGTCTACTGCTTTGTGCTAAGCAAGGACTAATTTTGAATATTTCCCAATTTTAGCTGTCAATGAACCGTCAGACATAAATCTAGAATAACTTCCTAGTAAAACACATGCACATACTATCATTCCTTTCAAGTATGGTCTAAAAGGATCACTTAAATGACTCATAAAATTCAATTAACAAGATAATTGATTTATCTGCTCAATCAAGACCTCTCAAGGCAACTTTCTACTTAGCAAGACTGAGTTATCCTCCGTGTGTCTGCTTAAATATTACATTTAAGCTAGGCTTATCTCTAAATCAAGCAATAGGTCCAATTTTTAAGACTTGGGATTTTATTTTGCTCCTGGTTCCAAGGAGAAATAAAAGCTGGGAAAGAAAAAGACGTGTGTGCAATAAGACTAATTCAGCAGGAAAGAACTGCAAGAAAAAAAATTATATTACCCATGATGGTTGTAATTTGGTTTGAAAGTCCCACAGATTATGCAACTCCAGGGTCATTCTTTGTTTCCTACCAATTTCAGGTTGCAAAAGGAAAGCAATATCGCATAGCACAAAGGAGTGAGTGATGGGTAGTTTCAATAGGACCTGGCAGCTCTCCCTGGCTGGGTTAAAACATGGTTTTGAGCACACTGCTAATAGTGTCAGTCACAAATAATAAGATTCTGCATGGTTTTAGTATCCAGGTCTGATCGCGGTTTATTCTGAGAACAAGGCCATCTGCCAGCCAGGCAGCGGGGAAGAAAAAAACCAGTACTGTGCTGCCTAATATCGCCACCTGCTGG